TCTTTCTCAAAGGGAGTGGCACTATTAGGAGGTGTGGGCTTTAAGGTCTCCTAAATGATCAATCCATGCCAGTGAGACAGATCATCTCTTGTTGCCTACACAAGATGTAGAACTCTTAGCTACCCCTCCAGCACCATGTCTGCCTGTGAACTGTTATGTCTCACCATGATGATAATGGAATGAACCTCTGAACCATAAGCCATCCAATTAAATGTTTTCCTTTATAAGAGCTGATTTGGTCATGATGTGTCTTTATAGCAATAGAAACCCTTCTAAGACAGGCAAAGTTAATGGGTAAACAACAGCCTACAGAATGCAGAATGGGAAAAGATTTTCACCAAGTCTGTATCCAAGAGAGGACTTATATCCTGTGTTCCTGTGTGTGTGTGTGTGTGTGTGTGTGTGTGTGTGTGTGTGTGTGTGTAAAGAAAATATACATCAACAAACCAAATAATCCAATTTAGAAAATGGGTAGATATCTGAACAGATAATTCACACAGAAATATCCCAAATGGCTGAGAATCAAAGAAATGTTCAACACCCTTAGCAACCAGGGAAAAAGCAAAGGAAAACTAATTTGAGATTCCATCTTACACCTGTCAAAATGGCAAAGATCAGAGACACAAGTGACAGCTCATGCTGCTGAAGGTGTGGAGCAAGGGGAACACTCCTCCATTGATGGTGGGAGTGCAAATTTACGCAGACACTATGGAAATCAATATTGTGGTTCCTCATAAAATTGGGAATTGATCTACCTCAAGACCTATCTATAACACTCTTATACCCAAAGGACACTCATTCAGACCACAAGGACACTTGCTCAACTATGTTCATAGCAGCTTTATTCACAATAACCAGAAACTGTAAACAAGCCAGATGCCCCTTAACCAAAGAATAGATAAAGAAAATGTGGCACAGTTACACAGTGGAGTATTACTCAGCTGTTAAAAAACAATGACATCATTAAATTTGTAGGCAAATAGATAGAACTAGAAAAAAACTCATCCTGAGTGAGATAACCTATACCCAGAAAGACAAACATTGTAAGTACTCACTTATAAGTGGATATTAGCTATAGTAACAAGGAGGGTTCAAGAAGGGACCCATGGATTTCCCTGGGAAGGGGAAATAGAATAGATCTTATGGATGGACTGGGAGTGGATGGGGATGGGAACAGGGGGATCAGGCAGGGGAAGGATGGAGAGAGAGTGTTGGGAGAGAGGACTGGAATTGGGGAAACATTTGGGGGATGATGAGGAAACTCCCTGGAATCTACAAGAGTGACCCTCGAGAAGCCTCTTAGTGGAGGGGATACAGAGCCCAAACTGGCCACCTTCTATAAACAATCAAGGATCCCAGAAGTGGGACTGACATCAACCCAGCCACAAAACCTTAGACCTACAATCTGTCCTGCCTTCAAAATAAGCTGAGTTAATGGAGACCCAAGTCACAAGAGGAAGCCCATGCCTGGTTGACCTGGATAGCCAGGAACCCAGAGGCTGGACAGCCTAGAAACTCAGGATAGAACCAAACACTACTAGCCAAAAAAAGTCAATGAAATGATTCCTAATGATATTCTGTTATACTCATGGACAATTGCCTAGCCCAAATGTCATCAGAGAGGCTTCATGCAGCAACTGATGGGAGCAGTTGTAGACCCACAGCCAAACACTAGGTGGAGCCAGGGGACACCCCACAGAAGAGAAGGAGGAACAACTAGAGCCAGAGGGGTCAAGGACACCAGGAGAACCTGGCACACAGAATAAACTCGGCAGGACTCAACGGGGCTCATACAGACTGAAGCAACAATCACAGACCCCCACATGGTTCTGATCTAGATCCTCTGCATAGACACTATGGCTGTATAGCTTCATGATCTTGTGGAACTCCAACAGTGGGGGAGGGGGCTGTCTCTGTCTCTTTTGCCTGAACTTGGGACCCTTTTCCTCCTACTGGCGCCCCTTGTCCAGCCTTGATAGGAGGATTTGTGCCTAGTCTTATTGTGATTTGTTCAGTAGAGATCCATGGGAGGTCTGCTTTTTTTTTTTTTTTTAAACAGAGGTTTCTCTGTGTAGCGCTAGCTATCCTGGAACCCGATTTGTAGACAAGGCTGGTCTTGAACTCACAGAGATCCACCTGCCTCTCCCTCCCAAGTGCTGGGATTAAAGGCGTGCACCACACCCAAGATGCTCTTTTTTTAAGGGACCTGGGGGATTGATCTGGGGGGGAGAAAGGTTGGGGAAAGGACTAAGTGGAGTAGAGGGAGAGAAAACTGTGATCAGGATATAATGTATGAGAGAATACTAAAAAAAAATTAAAAAGCAAAAAAAAAAAGACTCTGACTCCTCATAACAACATGGTTTTACTAATACCCTAATAATAATAATAATAACAACAACAACAAAACAGCTGTTTCATTTGCTTTGAGGATTGACAGCTTTACATTGTAACATAAACTCTACATGTGTTAAGCCTATAACAAACCCTACAGATAGAACCAAGTCATTATGGAAGAGTTGAGCTAAATTGTTACAAAGCTGGATTAAAACAAGACTTTGAAAGGAAACAGCAGCCATTCTTACAAATTTCCACAAGAGGGCAATAAACTTATATTTGATTTTATCTTTTTAGGTTACCATAGTTACAAGATTTTGTGATAACATCAAACATGCATGGATCAAGATATTGCCTATTAATCCTTTGAATTTGTATAAATGTACCCTAGGAGAAAAGCTTACTAATATAATTTTTCCCATTTTATGTTCTCCAACTAAATGCAGTGAATCAAAAACCTGAATAAACCTCAGTATGAACTTGGTCATTCATAATACACGAATTATGCATGAAGTGATATAGCTTATATCTAAACCATTGTAACTGAGATAGCCTATCTCATTTAATGTTCAGTAATATCCCCCCCCCAAATTGCTAGGAGGAACTCTGTGTAGAAGTAAAATCATGATAATAATACAGTTTATCAGTAACAAAACGTACAAAACATGCTTATACCACCTAAGAAAGCCCAGCCACAGTTGCATGCAATTCTGTCCGTACTTGTAGACACATCATGGATTTTCTATTAGTTTCACTTTGCTTAGTTTAAAGTGAAAGAATTTTTAAAGGTAGATAATGAAATATACTAACTTAAGGCAACTGAGGCAGGATCGTGAAAGGCATAGTTCGCACCTTCCTTAAAGGACTGTGGGAGGGTAGAACCCAGCTATTGTTCTTAGATTCTCGTGACTAGTAGAGCCCATAAAAGGAGCTCACAGCTTCCTCCTAGTTGTCACAACACGGTCCACTTGGGAAACTGGGAAGCAAACTAAAAACCAGTGAGCACGATGCTCACACTGTGACTTGGGCTGAGATTCTGAGCCAAAGAGAGAGATGGGAAAAGGCCTCCTATGTTTGCATCACTCTTCCCTCCAACATCCATTTGCTGTTATAAATGTCATCTAGGTCAGACACAGTATCCTTAGCCTACAGCCGTGCTGTGTTGCGACTAGATAGATCACTTTTACTATGAAAAATGATTTCAACATTTCTTTCATCTGCTACGAAAATGAAGGCCTGGATAATATGCAAAGATGCCGTGTCTTTAGTAGCATCTCTTTACTCAAGGAACACAGGCAAAATAAATACGCATTTATTTACCATAGGAAGCAAGTAGAAGCTTCGCATTAAACAGGCACAGAGTCTTCCTCCTCTGGTCATTTATTTGCCCTGGCAGTTTCTCTCTCTACCTGTCTAACATACTTCTCCCCAGAGCTTGGCTAGACCTTTCACTTGGGCCACTAGCCAGACTCCCCAGCCCTTCTCATTCCATTGCTATTAGAGATTTAAGATCTAACATCCATTGGAAGATTCTCTCAGAGCACACCACAGGGCCCACTCCATCTGCTGAGGTGACCCACCTTCAGAGATCTCATCCCTGCCGGTCCTCCAGCACCAAACCTCAGTTTATATTTGGCCCTGGTGCTATTTTTTTCTGTTCTCAAATAAAACAAGCATACCTAAATATACCTATCATACTCCACAATAAAAAGATGGGCTGCATTTGCCCTACACACTTCCCTGAGGTCTCAGGGCTCACACATGCTAAAATTGCCTTAACATTTCTAGTGCCTGCTACACAGTAGACTTACAGTAACAGTTGATTAGAGTAACTACAAAAAGGATATCTACCAAAAGAGAGAGAGAGAGGGAGAGAGAGACAGAGACAGACAGAGAGACAGAGAGACAGAGAGACAGAGAGAGAGAGAGAGAGAGAGAGAGAGAGAGAGAGAGAGAGAGAGAGAGAGAGAGAGAAGACTTAAAAGTAATTAAGGTTTAGGTCATTCTGTGCAAACAAACAAGTAAAACAAGCCAGAAGGAATCGAATGAGTCAGTCTAAACAGAGTGCTCTGGGATGTTTTCAAGAGGCCATTAGTAGAAATGGTCCTGTGAGCATCACCGTCATGGACAGGATGGAGAGAGGTGTACTCCCACGTTCACCATCAGCAAGCATTCTGATGCACAGATCATGAGAAAGGAAGCAGGGGAAGACAAGCCACCCTTAGAGCTCTAGGAGCCTGTGTGTCCCCTCCCAAGGCTGCTGTAGTCACGTGCCTTCCTGCTGAACACGGAGCTTGTGAGGTCATCTGCAGCCTTTGTTTTCCTGCAAAGAGCCATGAATCTTCATCTGTTAGAATTTCTATCATCTCAAGAAAATATAAAGACTTGATCAAGCCAAGGAAGAGTTGGGGGCTGAATTGGCTTTGAGGGGCTAATCATCCCCAGGAACAGAAAACAGTTACCTGAGCCACTTCTGTCTGAATCTAGATGGAACTAGAAAAATTCTCCAAGTATCACTGTACACGCAGCATAATTTCAAAGCCTCTGGCTTCTGAAACACTAACATTTTATCAGTGCATTCTGGAACCCTAAATGTTACTAGTACATTAAACATACGGCAAAGTTATTGAGGTAGCAGATGTACAAATAATTTATGTGGTACTTACTGGAGTCCGTGGCATGTTGACAGGGCGACAAATGATACAGGGTTCCCTCGGATCTGGCCCTGGTAGTAACAGTGTTCTCCTCCCTGGAAACAGAAAGAGAGGACATGAGCCTGGCCAGCCCAGGACACCCTGCCACATTGCTTCCACCACGATGCACCTCCGTACACTCTGTACAGGGTTTCATTCTCACGATGCACCTCCGTACAGGGTTTCATTGCCCAGATCAGTATTATCCAGTCAACTCCAACAGAATTATTCATAAACCTGCCTACTGAGCAGACTTCAAATCAAAGAGTGGGGGCATAAAGGCGGCCTTAACTTTGCTTTTATGCAGGTGTTATTTACAGCAGCCAAGATGCTTCCATAAATGTGTGGCCCATGCACGGGGATAGGTTTAATAACCCATCTCGAAGTTCTGAGGGATTCAATTCTGAGCAATGTTGCAGCAGTGATTTAATATTCAGCTGAGCAAAAAGAAACTGGAATCATTTGCGAGTCATTAGATTCCCATGATGGAGGAAAATCTGTGTTTTTGTGGTGTTCACATCAAGTTAATAGTGCTCTTTCTCGACTTGGGAATTGCTTTCCTTGTAACAGTCTGTGGGTAGGGTTTAACAAATGGTTAGGTTTCCTCTGCAACTGGTCACATTAACTGAATTTAATTCTTTAAACACAACTGGAAAGAAAATGGTACATAGATGATCTGGCATCCTATGGTGTTGTCTTTAAATACCCGATTGTGAGAGAAAGGTCCAGAAACCACAGTACGATGGAGGGGATCAACGTCTTATTAACACAGATCCCTTGCTGCAGCAGAACGCATTTTAACACAGTCTATGGGTGATTTATGTGCACATAAAAGTTTGAAAAGCTCTGCTCTAAATCACCTTTCCCATTCATTCACTAATTTATTCATTCAGGAGCAGAAAGCCTGTCATGAAATTGACATTCTGAGATTTTAAAAAAATTAGTGAAACGGGAAGGACTGATGGAATGAGAAGAGGGAAATGTTACCTGCATCAGTCTCCCTTAAGGATGAGCCCTATTTAAATACCCAGTGTTGACAAGTAGACAGGGAAGAATCAGACAGAATCAGACGACACGGGAGGCCATGGGGCTGAGCCTGACGCCACTGCCCCCAAGACAACACCATAGTATCTGGGAACCCTCTGCTTTAGAGAGTTCCAGTAAAATGGCAGCATGCAGTCCCTGACCCGACTGTTGGCCAGGGCAATGGCATTTTGTGAGCTTCTCCATTTTGGCTGAACTGTGACAGTTCTGGGAACTACCATAATTTGGCTTCTAGAAGTCAATTAACTTACTCCTCTAGATTCTTGACTGTTCTGCCTCATGAACCCCCAAGGAATATTAAGATGTTACTGATCACATAACATTCTGTAACTCCCAGCAATGGTCAGCTTCAGACCAGAGAAGAAGAGCCACCTTCCCAACCTCCTCTTGTAAGCGGTATGTCTACTCACGCTATCCCTGTTCAGATCACGGTTAAGCATTCATGTGGTGAGTCTCTATGGGCTTAGCTTCTACCGTGATTATGAAAAGCAATCTCACAGAAAACTCCCTGATTCTCTGGACCTTAAAATCTTTCCTCAATGCTTCCCAAGCCTTAGGTGCAGGGGTGTTTGTAGATGTGTCCATTGGGACTGGGCTCTACCTCTCTGCTTCCTGGAAGGCTACAACCATTAAGACTCAAGGCACTCTGTAACCCTCAAAGTTGCCAAGTAGAGATACAAACTTTGGATGACTACAAATCCAGGATTCTTTCCCCAACACCACTTATGAGATGTATCTAGAACTTGTGATTTATGTGCTCCAAGTCTAAGCTTTCTCCTATACTGATTTATTCTCTTATTCTACTCTAGACAGACTATAAATATTCTCCATTGGACTATGAGAATGGGGAACTGTCCATATATTTCATTACAAATATTCAAGCCAACATATGATTCAGATAGTTTTTATTTTCTGAACACATCTGGTTATACCAGAAATCAGAACACTAACTTCATAGGGACCATACCAAAAAAAAAAAAAAAAAAAAAAAAAAGAGGTCAATAGTCAATGAAGTAGCCTGGACAGAAAAACTTCTTTTTAAAGTGTTGTTTTCAACTCAACAGTGATTAATCCAAACACACATTTTTTTCCCTCAGAGAAGTCAGAAGTCAACAATAACACATGAAGAGAGATGAAAGATGAAAAGGCAGATAATTGCGATAATTATGGTTTCAGATTAGACAAGAGTAGAAGTCAGCAACCACCGTGTGAGAAGATATACCAGTGGAGTAGACTGCAAGAAATATTTTATGAGTTACTAAAGGTTTTTTTAAATGCCCACTCTGGAAACTTCTCATTGTATAACTATAAGGAGGTCAAATAATTCATTTTTTAAAGAACATCCCCCTACCACATTGGGAAAGAGTTAGATAATTAGACAATAGAAAACAATCTTCCATTAATTTCCAATTCAGAAAAAAATAGGAGTCTATCGAAAACCAGCATACGATCAGAGCCTGTCTGTACAAAAGCCTAACTCTGCAAATGCACAGAGGAACTCAGTGTGGTTGACTCATTGCTGAATGCTTCCACGACTCGTGAAAGAGGAGCATAAACGGGAAGGAGAGAGACGTCCCCAGTCTGGGCTGTTACACTTGAATTTACAAGGCCCTCATTAGTAGCATATGTAAAACTTCCAAATGATGGTAAGAACACATTGTAGCATTATAAATTTATTAGATACTATTTACCATAAATAATTTACAATTATTTAAATGATGAAGTGGGGAAGACAGGAAAGGGGGATCGGCAGTTAAAAACACTGGCAGCTCAAGCAGAGGACTTGGGTTCAATTCCACCTGTAACTCCTGGGTTACAGCCACCTGTAACTCTGGTTCCAGGGGATCCGATGTCCTCCCCTGGACACTACAAGCACTGCATACGCACAATGCACTAGCACACACGCAGGCAAAATACCCATGTACGTAAACGTAAATCAACAAACAAATGAGGAGCTGAGGTAAGGACGTTCATTTTCCTTCAACACGTCTCATAAAATTTATTATTCCAAACCAGAGACTTTGATGTTAATTAGGTATTTTAATTAGCTTATGTTCTAGTACTAAATGGCAAAATATCAATTTTATATTTTAAGAAGTAATTTGCCTGTTATTTTTAAATGATATACATTTAGGATAAAAGTGCTAAGAATCTATGCTGTTTGTGATAAAGAGTAAAATTCCACCCCTTATGTACATTGTGCAAGCCATATTTCATTGAAATAGCATGTGTATGTGTGTTATATATATTTTTTGTTGTTGTTTTTTACGAGACAGGGTTTCTCTGTATTGTTTTGGAGGCTGTCGGTCCAGCCCAGCCTCGAACTCACAGAGATCCGCCTGCCTCTGCCTCCAGAGTGCTGGGATTAAAGGCTTGCGCCACCACCGCCCAGCTGTATGTGTACTATATTACGAAAAAAATATGTATATACAGAATATCTATATAAGGATTCAATTCTAGTATCAATCCGAAAAGAAATGCTGCAATCCCTATACTGCATATAAATACTCATTTCTCTTATATTTGAATGTTAACTTTTAAGCTTTCAATATGTACTACAATCGAAGTAGTCACAGAAGTTAGCACTAGTAAGGGACCAGAGAGGAGGACAGATCTTCCAAGGATGGGGAGATAGAATATAGGTTGTGAAGATATATAGGGGAAACGAGAATAAGAGAGGTAAAGGGGACAGGGACAGGAGAGCAGAGTAAAGGAGGGAATATGGGAAGGGACAACTAACACAAAATGGCTTTTGAAAAAACATTTGGAAACTTCCTACTGTTCCCTAGAATATGTAATATATATGAGAGGAATTTAAATTGAGTCATCATATAATGGGGGAGGCAATGCCCCAACTAGATATCTTATGTCATCAAATAAAACCTCCAGTGCAAAAAAAAAAGGGGGGGGGGAGAAGGGGGTTATATCTTATTGAGTTCCATATATACTCTCCCGAAACATCACAGGCTAGGGACAATGCTGTTGGCTGCTCTCACAGCCTGATGTAAGACCCTACTGCTGAAGCTCACATTCATTTATGGCATCAGACATGGAGAAGTTGAGTTCATGCCCAACTAGAAGCTTAACCCCTGCTGACTAGCATTTGGCACTGGAAGGCACCTTGCATGCTACCAGAGGAGAAAAAGAATTATGAGGATCACTCAGCTAGCAGCAAACACCATGACCCATTAACAGCAACCAACCTACAAGTGCAAGAATGGCACAAATGTTGTGGGATTAACCAACCACTTTCTCATAGGGTTAAAGACCTACTCCACGAGGGGGAACCCATACCTGACACCGCTAAGGGAGCCAATAACCCAACACTAGATGATAAGCCATGGGCCTAGGGGAAAGCCTGCTACCATTATTCTACTAAAGGAATACAGCAATGAAATGACCCTTACAGCATACTGCTACCCCATAGATCAGTCCACACTCAACTAGAAGCTTCTTCTTGCAGTATACCGTGGTTAACAACTAGATAGCATGCAGGTGTAAGAGACTTTGGGTTACTCAGCCCTCAACGGGATGTCTTCGTCAGACCTCTCCTCTCAAGGCTGACAGGTCGAAGCAGAAGCAGCCACAAAATGACTGTAAGAGCCAGAAGTAATGGCTCCTTTCCAGATGCAACAGGACTTAGGCACACATGAACTCACAGAGACTGTGTGGCAGGATTCCTAAAACCTGCACAGGTTCAAGCCAGAAAGGAACTCAGCACTGAGAGCAGAAGCGAGCACAAAGTCCCACCCCTGACCAAGAAGCTGTCAAAGGTAAAATAATCCACTTTTTTACAGTGGAGTATCATTGGATATATAACCACACTCCAGGGAAGGCACCATGTAGTAGGCCAACACAGAATGAACTCAATGTTGTTTTTATGTTCTTTTGTGTGTGTTCTTTTGTCTTACTAGGTTTTTTTTTTTGCTTTTGTTTTTGTTTTTTGTTGTTTTTTTTTTTTGCTTGCTTTGATTTTAGTTTTTGTAGTTTTTTTCCAAAAGGAGAGAGGGAG